ATCGAACACATTAGCTGTTGAATTTGGTGGCATATCCTGAAAGAAATCCTAGAAGTGGACTCTCTTTCAAACCCACTCTATTAACAGCGTCATCTGTGAAAGAAGGCCAAATTTGGATAAAATTACTGATGGTTCATTTCACTTGCTCCCATGATATCTTGCTTTCCACATTGAGGGTATTCACTATTCATCATCCGTGACATAATATTTTCATTATGTTTAAATAGGGAATCGCAGTGGAAGCCACACGTCAAAGTGACTAACATAGTCACGATGGTGTAAATGATTCTAGCGTCTAATTTCAATATTTTTAATATGCAGGCTATCACCTATGTCGTACAACATTGATTTTTTAAAAACCAATTCGTCCCAAACAAGGCGATAATGCCATTATGACAGTCGACTGTTGGCACTGAAAGACAATGAAAGTATCTTAGTAGGAACCAAAAACACAATACTAAACAGGAAAAGGGATAAACATCAACTCTTGTTCAAAAGACCGGGGAGAAGTGTGAGCCGGACGGTAGGCGAACCTGTCTACTTCTATTGAGGAAAAAAATAAATAGTAAATAAAATTTCAAAGTTTAGTCGGATATTTTAGATGTATAATGTTGAAGTAGAGTTTAGGAGGAACCGGAAACGCAATTTTAAACAGGAAACAAGGGAGATTATTCTTAAATAATTACTTGATTTGGTTGCTTTCAACTTCAACTTGTCTACTCGACCTTAAATCATCAACCAGTTGGAACTCCGCAGAATGAAACTTTGTAAAATATTTTGATGTAGTTCCCAGCACATTATCAATGAGCTGGTTAAATCTGTTTTTTTTTATTGAAACATATTTTTATCTTTCTTAAAATTTAAAAATATACCGAAAACCTTTTTTTTTCTTCAATTTCAATATATATTTGTGTTATATATGTGTTTAAGACCCGTAGGTGGAATAATGGATAGCGGCTTGGATTGAGGAATCGGAGAGCCGAGTTCGAATTCCATTTACGGGAAAAGGTATGAATCCTCTTCTTCTCCCGCCAGCTATGGTTAAATTGTAGGACAGACCGGGTTCTGTAGACTTAGATGACAACTGGTCTACCGCAGAAAGAAATGGCAACCTACTGCGGGAAAAATCTGCCTCGTCAGTCCTGTATCGAAAGATACATGATCGCCTAAGCGTTTATCACGCATGGGACGTAACTGATTGAATGCCCTGTATTCCTCAGAATTTTTTCGTACGTTTTTTTTTTGGGGGGGGGAGTGGCATGTAGCCCCACTGTACTAAGCGTTGCTGAAGGAGTTTCCGTAGAAAGTAGCATTTTACGCAGTAAATTTGCTGGCTACTAGTTTTGAATTCAGAGTTGTTCCTCTTCTAGACTGGTTGCCGACCAAGGCTGTGGGAGGACAACGTCCAACCCGTATTGAATTTAGAGTCGCCCTTCTTCTGGACTGGTTACCGACCAAGGCTGTGGGAGGACAACGCCTAACCGGTATTCAATTCAGAATCGCCATTCTTCTAGACTGGTTACCGACCAAGGCTTCGAGAGGACAACGCCCAACCGCTATTGAATTCAGTGTCGCCATTCTTCTAGACTGGTTGCCGGCCAAGGATATTAATCTCTGTTAACCTTCCGGAACAGGAAGGGGGGTGGTTGACTAATACATTTCGAAGAGTATTTGTGCGAAAGCAAACACAACGATCTCAGATGGGATTTGTTTGACTCCGAACCCATCTTCTGCGTCGACACATAATACGCAAAGTTCACTTCCCGTCTCAAATGTGAGAATCAATAAACAAATTACGACAATTTTAATAATTAAAAAAATAAAATAAACGCTCGCGCAACAGCTGTCACAATAGAATCCTTTGACTGACACGATATAAAACTACACGTTGCTAATGTGATCTAATGTCAAACTCAGAGCGAAGTTTTTGGTCAAACCAATAATTTACTCTAATAACACATCGACGAATAGAATCTGATTTTCTCATTAAATTTAAATCAGCGCTTTTTTTCCCTCTCTGGATAGAGAAAGGAAAACCTTTCCTTCTATTAGTCATATTTTCTGTCCACACTGATAGTTTATTGTTAATATGCGTAGTTAAGAGTGACACTAAGGAACAACAATGTTGTAGTTGGGAGGATCGAACACTTAACCAATTGCTATATCTAATCATTTCTTTTTCACCCAATATTTCTTTGAGGGATACATTGAATAAAATATCGTTCATTATTCTGATATGTACACAACTCAGTAAAGTACAAGTGGATGTGGTAGGAACATTTTATTGTGCTGAGTGGGGGGGGGACGTTTCCGCTTTGAAAATCAGCATTTGAAATATTGATTTTTACAGAGGTTCGATGTGATATACGTAACTATAGGAGAAAATGATATGATATGTTTATATGCCAGAACAATCTTAGGAAAAATTTCGGTGTGACACATTTAATCATTTAGGACTTCATCGGACTAAAGTGATGTTTACGTTGATGTAACTACGCATGTGCTCGAAGGACGCTGAAATTTTAATCTTTTTACATTTAATTTTTTTTTAATATGTGTTTGGCTATATAGTCTAGCCAATTTTATTTAGTTTCATTTTGTTTATGTATTAACACTTTTGTTATTAACTTTAGCATATATTGATGACGCTCTATTAAAATGTCCTCGCGAAGTACATTCCCTGACCTTGTAGATAAACTTAAGTCGAACATACTATAGAATTCACTTACGAAACTGAAACAAATAACATTTTATCTTTCCTAGATACCATACAAAACCGTACTAACAATGACCTAAAAGTAAGTTTTCATCTCAAATTCTCACCATAACAACAAAATAATAACATCCGGAATAATTATTGGATTTTATTTAAGAGCACTCAGCATTTGTGGCCTTCAAGATATATAAAGAGGAAAAATACAGTGAAAATGATACTAACCCCTCCATTATTCTATTTCATATTCAACGCGAAACAAAAAACTCATAAAATATTCCAAAATAGAAAATTCGATCATTCTGCCTAAAAAACTCTATCACAACTACAATTGAATATAATATATTTAACCTTAGCATAAAATCTGTTATAACTACTTCTAAAACAATAAAAGATTTAATTGATACAAAATAAAATAATAACACTTTAAAACATGGAGGAGGAATTTTCTCAATCAGCTGTAATATTTGCCACATAAAATACATAGGAGAAACCTCAAGCAATTTCAATAAATGATTATATGGACGCAAAAGGGATCTTTTATAAAACAACACACTCAATGCATTAGATGCTCACCGGGATGAGTTTCACCACAATTTCGATTTAAAATATGCTACTGTCGGAGTTACCTCCTCCTTCAAGTTCGTAACCCTTTCACCAGAGGTCTCTCTTTCCTTGCTATAAATAGCCAATGACCCTTCGGCTCGACCTCTTTTTCCCTTTCAGGCCTGGGCACTAACGCCCCGAGGTAAATTTCTCTGCTTCCTAGAGGATTTCAACTATCAACCTCGAAATGTAGTCGCTAACAAGAAATAGCGTGAAATCACGCTAAGCACAATGCACACACGCACGCACACACAGAATATCCACACACGCACGCACGCACGCACATACAGAATATTCACACACACTTTGTCCTTCGTACTGTTTCCCTGTATTGTAACTTGTTATGAATATATATTTGTTGTGTATACATATATTATCGGTCTTGTGTTGTTTGCTTTCTTTTCCTTCTTCTTTGGACTTAATCAAAGTCCAACCTTTTTATGTAGTTGGGCCCGGCGAGCAGGAGTATCTGAACCATACAGGCGTTTCGTCCACGTCTGACTTCTCTCAACAAACCGTAACCGCCAACATAACAGCCACGGCCCACTACACTACTTTAACTAAAAGAGAAAGCAATTTACTAAGGCGAAAATGTATAGAAAGTGCTTAAATTGCCTGATCATCCACAGTAAATTTGAGTCCAGGTTCGTACATTTCACCTTTCTTAGCAGAATTTCTATTAGTACAATGTGGGATACAAAATAACGAAAGTGATAACGTAAACAAACAGAAAAAGAAGCTAAATAAATTTCTTAACATTTGATATCATAAACAGCTTTTTTTTTTGTTCTTTTCCCCATCGTTACACTTGCAATGGAGACTTGTCTCCCTGCTAACGAACGAGTAAGTTCCGAAGAACATGAGAACAAGACAGCCACTGATACTTAAAATCACAAAGACACATGTAAAATTTCTGTGACACATTATGAGGAAGGACGGTTTGGAAAAATACTCACAGGAAAAATTGAAGGACGAAGTGCTAGAGAGAAACAACAAGTAACTTAACTAACAAGCTTGTGTGAATCGATCACAACGCATGGACAATGAGAGTGGAGTTGTGGAAATCATGATGATGAACGAACGTTTCTATTGGTTACGTTCAACCTTTTATAAAAGTTAAATTTGATAAAGCTAAATGTTTACGATGTAGAAAAGAATTTAGGCAACAAGTCTTTTTTTATTTCAGAAAAAGCTTGTGAATACACAATTTACTCTTAGTTTGTAATATTTTATGCAGACACAGAAAAATCATACGAACCTCTGATGACAGTTTAAAATAAATACACTTAATACAAGTTATTCATTCATTCATTTGATCATTTATGATTGTTTTGTGTTTTGTACCATTTAAAAAAAATTCAACCTTAAAAATACACTTTCGATATTTTCTAGTGAACGTTCGAACTAATGAAATTATTTATTGTTAATTATTAATTTTCTTTTACTTCTAAGCCTTTTTGCTACTTATCAATTTTTCTTTTAGACTATACTCTAAAAAATAGGTTTAGATTCTTAACAGTTTCTAATAACTTCTCATTTTCTCCCTTGCTAGCTAAACATTTTGGCTCGATCGCGAGGAACATTGGCTGCATTTTGTTTTTATAATACATTTATGTAGAGACAAAGATTCATAATCTTTGTCAGGTCTACTAATGTCGTAATGGTTCTCTGTGAGCTATAGAAAATATTCTCTGCGTTTTTACGCATGCGCTTTCAAAATGTGCAACTGTGGGTTGTAGGTGTAGGAGTGCTGCTTTACGTGTCGATTAGCCTTTGTATGGATCATATTCTTATTGCGCGCGCAGACCTATCTGTTTCAACTAGACGTTTCCATTGGTCTTTCTTTTCTTTTTCTTTCTATCTGTGTAAAAGGTCAAACGCTCATGTGTCTGTGCAATGACTTATACACTATGCGTTTGCAAGCACGTACACTGCAATAGTACACTTTTAATTTCCTGTCATTTTTTTTAATTTTATTTATTTATTATTTTTTTGCCATAGTAAGTGTTTTAGACGTAAATTTTCTAACGCATATACGTATGGACATATATGACATATGTATATAAATGCCTATAGATATTAATTTACTCGCATGTACAAACATTCATTTATGGCGTAATATGCATAAATGTTTATATAAACTAATACATACACAATATAGACTGTTTCTTCACACACACACACACACACACACACACACACACACACACATATATATATATATATATATATATATATATATATATTGAAGTGCAGAGAAAAAAGGGTTTCTCTATCTGAATGATGATTAGTAGCATGCGTGAGTGTATGTGTGCGTCTGTTTAGACACATACGCGCACACATGATTCTTGATGTATATGTATACGCATCTATGTGCGTGAAGGGTTTAGAAATCCTGGTTGTCCATGAGAAGTCATTAGCAACAGGAAGTTGGACGTCGTTTGACCTCGTCTCCGATTGGCAGTCCTCCCCCTACCACCACCACCACCACCACCACCATCACCACTGCCTCCTCTTTACTCTTCTGCCAATCCTTCTACCCGCTCTCCCAACGGAGAGACTTCCTTTCTTCTTCTCGTTCAGTATTTCGGCTCACTCTTTTTCACAAGTCTCCACCCCGTCTGTTTACTTGTCTCTCTATATTCAATCCTCCAATCAATTTCTTTGTGGGTCTACCCCTTCTATTATCCTCGCTCTCTTTTAGTTACCCGCTCACTCGTTCTCTCTCTGTTGACATTCGTAAAAAATGGATCAGGGCCATTTTGGAAGAGAGGAAAAAGGAAGCAAGTATGGCGTTTGGGTGACATGGGTGAATGTGATAATGCGGGGGAGGAAATGGACCTATATACATTTACACATGATAATGTATATCTGTGAGTGTGTACGTCTGTGTGAGATAAAGAGAGAGGAGGGGAGAGTGAGAGAGAGGTGAAGTGAAATGCGTGTATCGGAGATTGAGAACGTCTGTTTGCAATATGTTATATATATATATATATATATATATATATATATATATATATATATATATATATATATATATATATATATATATATATGTGTGTGTGTGTGTGTGTGTCTTTATGTGTGCGTGTGTGTTCTTTTTAATATGTGTGCGTGTGTCTATTGAATATACACGTTTGTATACGTTTCGATAAATATACGTATTTTAAGTGGCATATATATATATATATATATATATATATATATATATATATATATATATATATATATATATGCACACAAATATATTTATGCGGGTCTATAGACACATATGTATGGGTGGGAAGCATTAAACATGGGAAATGCTTTAAAAGAAATATAATCGAAAAGCCTAATGTTAATTGCGTGGGTGTGCGTGCAGTTGTAGTCTATGAAAACATTTTGCTACAAACATTTTTCAAAATTGAAAATGATCTTTCATTTACAATTTTTAAAAGATTTTTTTTAAGTCCGAAAATTAAATAAACTGGGGAAAATAAATTTTTACGCTATTTTTCTCTTTTCCTTTTTTTTACTTGTATATATATATATAAACATATTTCTTTCTTTTACACTTATTTTATTCTATTGGAATTTAGTAAAACTCGAATTGTACCTTAGCTGTAGCAGAAAACATTACTGTATATCAAAAGCAAGTCACTAATGCTACTAGAATGCAGAGATTGTAGGGGATGAAATAGAATGAGATTTTAGTAGGAAGGATCGAGGAAAGGACAAATAAGAAGACAGAAGACAGCGATTGAATTTGCATTTAACTTTTTGAAGATTATAGTTTTCAGGGAAGCAAAAAATAGGATTAGAATTCTACGGGTGAGAATTCCGAGAAAAGAAACTAGAGTAAAATGGCGGTTGTAACCCAGTATCACATTGTTAGTGTATTGCTCTTTTACTCCTTAATAATGACAATAATAATAATGTCGTTTGACTAAATAATATTATTATGGAGTCAGATCGAATTGAGCCTCTGAGGTAAAATTATATCATAGGGTTTTTTGGGATAAAATTAGTCTACGGCGCGACTCAATTTAAAAAAACAAAACAAAAACAAGACGATTTTAAAACCAGTTAAAAAATGGGTCTAATATGGTGTCAGATAGAGAAAATAATTATGAAGCTATAATTTTCTTCACATTTTACGATGAAAAGATGTCAAGTAAAACTTCGTAAATAAATATTGATAGAAATGGGACGTGGTCAAGCAAGATTCTATTAAGCTGATCCTATAATGAGAATAATTCCCCCCCCCACGCTAGAAATTACAGCTGTGATTTCTATAGCAAATTGTTTTTTTTTTCCGAGGTAAACTTGCCAGCCCACGTCCAACTGTTTTTAAATCCAGGGTTGTCCATCTCCCAAATGTTTGCAAACAAGACTAGAATAGTCCTGTCAGCCCTACTTTTTAATTCATAGTTCAGGGGGTAGAAGATAAGAATTCTTATCTTTCTCAAGAAAATTTGTGTAAAAGTGAACGCAACAAACTTGACCATGATTTGAACACGGCACACTGGTTCTATTTTTAGCGCTGATTATCACGAGGAGCTTGCCTGGAAAATCAGTATTCGAGAAAATATGCTGCAAACTGTTTAATCGGCGTGTCAAACGTAGTAGTATATATTAATATCTCTTTATTACAAAGCATTTCCGTTAGGGGACACATACACATCTTGGTTGTTATAGTCACAACGTTTCGGTTGTTATGCTACCGTTATCCGAACTTCTTCAGTTGTCTGTCGTACTCGGCAAGTTTTTCGAAATTTTGAACTGAACCCTTTATTAAATCAACGCGTGTAGATAGTTCTTTTGCTTTCCAGCAATTCTCTTTCGTCAATTTGCTTTGTATCGCTTGTTCAATGTAACAACTACTCTGCAAATTAGATTTCGATCACGTAAGTTACGCAACGTCGAACCAGGTCAATATCTAAACGGGTGACCGCTTGGGGATACCAGTGTAAGCTTGGATATGTAGGTGGTGTAATGGATAATTCCTCAGAATTGTTAATCGGAGAGCCGAGTTCCAATTCCCGTTGGGTTCGTTATATTCACTTACGCGAAAATACTCTTAGGTAAGTTATGAATCTATTTCATCGCCCCTAGATATGGGTTAATTAATAAGACTCGCACCACTAAGGCATTATTATCCGCCCCCACAAATTCCTACAGTCTAAAGTATTTTCTGGTTTTAAATAATCTGCAAAGGGTTGATAAGCCGTAAAAAACGAATCAATCAAATCAAATCAGAGAAGATAACGAGAATGTGCCCAATAAAAGAACGACATCGAAAACCAGCTCAAACCTTCGGGGATATTTTTTGGGAACCAAATCCAGCTTAGAAGAGAAAATGCGCCAAATGTTTTTTTTTTTTTTATATTCTATCTCATGCAGTAGTGGTCAAGGCGAGATTAACCTCCCCCGAAAGCTGAATGTGAAAGAACATAAAAAAAACCGCAAACCGAAGATAGATGCTGAAATCAGTGAAATTATAGTGAGGAAAATGGGCGATCATGCTAATAGACTAGACCAGCGTTTCTCAACCTTTTTACTCTTGTGGAACCTTTGAAATAGTTCTCACGTCGCAGGGAATCTCTGCATAAAAATTATTATATATCATTATTAATTTATATATTTATTATAACTATGGATTTTCCAACAATATGCCGTGTGTTTATAGTAAAATTACAAATATAAAATTATACAAAAATTATTCAAAAATACATTATCCCATTGACTCCTGTTCCTTGTGGAATTCCTAGCGATCTCTTGCGGAACTCTAGGGTTCCGGGGAACACCAGTTGAGAAACACTGAACTAGAGGATAAGATAGCTGAAAGAATCGGCGCAGATGTTAGCTGCTGATAAACTCCACAGTAGACCTAGTATAAATATAAGCACTACCTGGGAAACTTTGGTTAATAGAAAAGACATTAAACATTCTAGCACTTGAGTAAAGAATTAGGTTTAAGGATGATTAAAGCATATCTGTTTTCATGGCTGTCGTAATTTCAATCCTTGACTTGAAAAATGCGGAAAAAAGTTATATTTTTTTATTCGGGAAGAGAAAAGAACAAGCGAGACAAATGCTAATACATTTTAGAGAATTAACTGATAAAAGATACCGCCTAAGCATAGGAAGCAGAATCAGAGCAATCAAACTCCAGGTTGAATAATAGTTTTGTGTTTAAAAAAAATCCCAGGTTACTGGGCGCTAGAGATACCTGAAGAAGGTTACAGGGGATAATGACCGAAACATTGTGAGTATAACAACCAAGTTGTATATTGTTTTTAATCATTTCACCTCAAGCAAGGCCATAAATCCACAAAGACGACTGTTAGAGAATACGAGAAGAAAAAAAAAAAACAATATTAAGGATAGAGAACAATAAAAGAACAAGGATTAAAAAGACATACGATGACGATTGACATTACATTTAAATTTGTGAAGATCAAAGTTGACTGGAAAGCAAAAAGCCGGAAACGGTTTTCACAAACGTGCAGTGCGATAAAAAAAATTGTTAGCATAGAACTTGCATAGAATATACTACACTGAATAGAAAAATTTACCAATACCTATTTTAATATTATGCAAACCGTTCTTCCGATTTTAAAAACGTCACTATGGTTAAATTTATTCATCAATCGTCTAGAAGAATTATTGAATCAGCTATGAAATTACGATACAATTCTATTTATAAAAATATATTTTTTCACACTTTCAAAGCTAACATAATATTGAACAAAACAACATTAAAATAGATACTAGTTAAACATCGTAATAAAACGTTTAATTATAAATTTTAATTAAGTTCCATATTTTCCTTAACATCTAAATAATATTGAACTAAATTAATTTTTGAATTATTATTCACAATTTTCTTTGGAGATACGCGCTTTCGTTTTTTCAATATAACTTTATTTTAGTTTATTTTCCTATATTAAATAACCAATATATTTTATTTTTGCGTATTTCCTCTGAACAAATACATTGATTTGTTGAATATTTCTTTTTAAATTTCATAAACTATTAATTTTTTTTTCAAATTATCACAGCGCTTCTCTGTATCAGGGAAGCCAATGGTAACGATTTGTTTTTTTAGACATTTTAGTTTTAAAAATGCATGTACAGAGAAAACGCTAACAACAAAATAAAAGACAATTTTACGCATCCTCTTTTCATAATTTGTATCTTATATATATATATATATATATATATATATATATATATATATATATATATATATATATATATATATGTGTGTGTGTGTGTGTGTGTGTGTGTAAGCAAATATATGGATATAGATCCGACAGTATGAAGAAAAATACACTGAAAAAACAAACAAAAAATCCTATGGATGCGATTATGCTGTTTTAATGTTTAATGTCAACGTCGGACGTTTCGGTCTAATAGACCATCTTCAGGACATATTCATAAAACATAATTAACATAGACCATATACAATTCAACATAAGATCAGCGTTCCGTTTAAATATGATCACGTCGTCGTCACGTGGGCGATGTTGTGAAAACGTATTCCTAAAATTTGAGTATTTTGAATGAAAAACGAAAAGAATTTTATTTTGATCTAAAACATATTTACGTTTGTCGAGCATTAATATGTGATCATACGTGATCATTAATATGTGATCATACGTGATCATATTTAAACGGAACGCTGATCTTATAAAAGATTTCAGTTATCTGTTTGGATTGGTATTGCTTTTATGTCCATCGTCTTTTTCATGTTGAATTGTATATGGTCTATGTTAATTATGTTTTATGAATATGTCCTGAAGATGGTCTATTAGACCGA